AATATAATATGCACACTAATTTACTTGATAACTTCTCTATAGACAATTCCGGGTCGATCAGGGTTAAACAGTATTATTGCCGTTAACTTAAGTTATAATGCGTAAAATAATTAATTAAAACCATTGTGTACTAGGGTATTATTTATGAATACAAACCAAATCCATGATAATGTCATCGCTTTCCCATTCGGGTATAATTTGTGTCAAATATTTTTCGTGCCATTCGTAGACATTACGCTTTTGGTGCTTAAGTATAGCCAATCTTATTAACGTTGATATCTCTGACTCATTCTGCCATGATCAATTAAATTATTGTACATTATCGTAACCTGTATCATTCACATTCCTACCGTAAATATAATCCAATATTTATGTTCAAGATTAAAGTGCTCAACGAGTCTCATGTAATGTATTTCAGTGGTTCCGTATTTAATCAACAATTCTCTATCGCTTTCGCAAACGCTTTCAAATGCATTCAACTTCTTAAACATTTTGACAAAATTCTGGACTTCATTGTGGATTTTGGGGGCCCACAGGTGTGACGATTGCCATATGTCTGTTGCCTCCACTATAGCCCGTACTGAGTGTTTATCTTTCAATAGTTTTGTGGCATTTAATAACTCATTTAACTTATAATCTTCTGTTTCACTCAAACTTTTATTGTAATCACAGATAACTCGCGGAATCGCATTGAAATATATCTGATTGTCACTTGTATTTTCAGTGACACCATTACCGTAACTGCCCATGGTATTATTAATAATATACTCATCCATTTCTATAAAAAGTTTCTTGATATCATTATTAGTGTTTGTCATCTCAACAGATGTTATCATTGAATTGTTATTATTCTCAATCACTTTATCGGTATTTAAATTCATAGCATTTTGTGTATTGTTTTTAGTCTTAAGTTTTCTTATAAACAATTCTTCTGGTGTTAGTATATATTCCTAAATAATAATTATTATTTATTATTAAATTGTCTCCTTATTAAAAACCAAATGTCATAATACTGTAAGCCCACTGCACTTATCTAATGTGATTCTACTACTGAAATATTCATATTGAAATATATAATTATATAATTACCTTTCTCATGCCATATTCAAAACACTTATTTAGTCTACAATTCTTGCAGAATCGTCTGTTTACCGGCGAATCGATGATACAGTTATTACCAAAACAACATTTGAGCTAAAATACAAATACAGTATTCATATATTAAATCATTTGTTTACATACCATATCTTAGTTTACTATCTTATAATGTTAAATTACATTTGTTTTCAATGCATTTCGCTTGAAAAATGTTTTACACGAAACACACGACAGAACTGTATAATTATTGCCTATGAATTAAAATGAAAATAAATCCGTAATTCAATATACATTTATCATTCAATTGTGTCCTAGCATGTAAATGACATTAATTACTTACCCCGAGCCTGATCACCACAAATCAAGCACTTT